TCAACTTTGTCATCATTGTTGGGCCCAACTGGTTTGTACTGGGAGGATCTGGTTGGTCTTTGGAGGGAATTTTGGGGTCTCTGAAGGGTTTTGGGGCAATTTTGGGGGGTTTTGGGGCATTTGTGGTCATCCTGGAGCAATGGGACGTTCCTTGGTTGAGATGATCACGCAGGGAAACCGACAGGGGTCGAATTTGGGGTAATTTTGGGGGATTTTGGGGTAGTTTTGGGGAATTTTGCAGTTTGGAAGAATGGGGGACTTTTGGGATGTTTTGGGGGAATTTTGGGGTCCCTCCGTGGTTTTGGGGCTCCCTTGACCCCTCCAAAATTGGAGACAAGAAGGTGATGGAGCTTTTTCTGGGAGAGCCAGATTTGGGGGGATTTTGGAGGATTTTGGGGTAGTTTTGGGGAATTTTGGGGTTTGGAAGAATGGGGGATTTTTGGGGTATTTTGGGGGGGATTTTGGGGATTTTTTGGGGTCCCCCTGACCCCCGCGACCCCCCGACAGCATCGGGCACAACGAGGTGATCGGGCTGTGCCGCGTGGGCAGCGACGCCGACGGCCCCGGCCGCGAGCACTGGGCGCAGATGTTGGCGAACCCCCGCAAGCCCATCGAGCACTGGCACACCCTGGTGGAGGTCTGACCCCCCCGGGACCCCCAAAACCCTCCCGGGACCCCCAAACCCATCCAGGACCCCCCAAAAACCTCCAGGGATCCCACAAAACCCCCAGATCCCATCAGGATCCCATAGTGACCCCACAGGAACCCCCAAACCCATCGAGCACTGGCACACCCTGGTGGAGGTCTGACCCCCCCCCGGGACCCCCACAAAACACCTCTAGGTTCCCCCAAAACACCCCGGGACCCCCAAACCCTCATGGAGACCCCCAAAAACCCCCCAGATCCCATAGGGACCCCCAGATCCCATCAGGATCCCATAAGGAGCCCCTGATCCCATAAAGACCCCACAGGATCCATAGGGGACCCCGAGACCCCCCAGAAGTTTCAGGGACCCCCCCCAGATCCTGTAAGGACCCCCCTGATCCCACAGGGACCCCCAGAATCCAAAGGGGACCCCCGAATCCCATAAGAATCCACTTGACCCCATAAGGACCCTCCCGATCCCATAAAGACCCCCAGATCCCATAGGGGCCCATAGGGGACCCCCCGATCCCATAGGGACCCATAGGGAACCCCGGATCCCCCTGATCCCATAGGGGACCCCCAGAATCCAAAGGGGACCTGGGGATCCCTGACAGCGTCCGTGTGTCCTGTCCCCGTGTCCATCTGTCTGTCCCTGTGTCCACCTGTCCTGTCCCCGTGTCCGTCTGTCCCTCTGTCCCCGTGTCCCTCTGTCTGTCCCTCTGTCTGTCTCTCCCCGTGTCCCCGTGTCCATCCCTGTCCGTGTGTCCGTCCATCCCCGTGTCTGTCTGTCCCATGTCCGTCCCTGTCCGTGTGTCCGTCCATCCCTGTGTCTGTCTGTCTGTCCTGTCCCTGTGTCCGTCTGTCCCTCTGTCCCCGTGTCCCTCTGTCTGTCCCTCTGTCCGTCTCTCCCCGTGTCCCTGTGTCCATCCCTGTCCGTGTGTCCGTCCGTCCCCGTGTCTGTCTGTCCCTATGTCTGTCCCTCTGTCCGTGTGTCCATCCCTGTCTGTGTGTCCATCCCTGTCCCGTGTCCATCTGTCCCCATGTCCGTCTGTCCCGTGTCCATCCCTGTCCATCCCTGTCCGTCCGGCCCATGTCCGTCTGTCCATGTGTCCTGTGTCCATCCCTGTCCGTGTGTCCGTCCGTCCCTGTCCGTGTGTCCGTCCGTCCCGTGTCCGTGTCTCCGTCCGTCCCTGTCCATGTGTCCGTCCATCCCTGTCCGTGTCTCCGTCCGTCCCGTGTCCGTGTGTCCGTCCATCCCGTGTCCGTGTGTCCGTCCATCCCTGTCCGTGTGTCCGTCCGTCCCGTGTCCTCTGTCCGTCCGTCCCGTGTCCGTGTGTCCATCCCGTGTCTGTGTCTCCGTCCATCCCTGTCCGTGTGTCCGTCCCGTGTCCGTGTCTCCGTCCGTCCCTGTCCGTGTGTCCGTCCTGTGTCCGTGTGTCCGTCCATCCCTGTCCGTGTGTCCGTCCCGTGTCCGTGTGTCCGTGTGTCCGTCCCGTGTCCGTGTCTCCGTCCATCCCTGTCCGTGTGTCCGTCCATCCCGTGTCCGTGTGTCCGTCCATCCCTGTCTGTGTGTCTGTCCGTCCCGTGTCCGTGTGTCCATCTGTCCCGTGTCCGTGTCTCCGTCCGTCCCTGTCCGTGTGTCCGTCCATCCCTGTCCGTGTGTCCATCCCTGTCCGTGTGTCCGTCCGTCCCAGGAGAAGGCTCTGACCAAGGCGGCCCCGCGGGACAAAGCGGCCCTGGGGGAGCCCCTGGGCCCGGCCTGAGCGGTGAGAGCCCAACTGGGAGCACTGGGAGGGACTGGGACGGACTGGGAGGGACTGGGGGCCAAACTGGGAGCACTGGGAGGGACTGGGACGGACTGGGAACCAAACTGGGAGCACTGGGAGGGACTGGGATGGACTGGGAACCAAACTGGGAGCACTGGGATGGACTGGGGGGAACTGGGAGCCAAACTGGGAGCACTGGGAGGGACTGGGACGGACTGGGAACCAAACTGGGAGGGACTGGGAGGGACTGGGGGGAACTGGGAGGGACTGGGATGGACTGGGAGTCAAACTGGGAGCACTGGGAGGGACTGGGAGGGACTGGGAGCCAAACTGGGAGCACTGGGAGGGACTGGGACGGACTGGGGGGAACTGGGAGGGACTGGGAGGGACTGGGAGTCAAACTGGGAGCACTGGGAGGGACTGGGATGGACTGGGAGTCAAACTGGGAGGGACTGGGGGCCAAACTGGGAGCACTGGGAGGGACTGGGAGGGACTGGGAGGGACTGGGAGGGACTGGGGGGAACTGGGAGTCAAACTGGGAGCACTGGGAGGGACTGGGACGGACTGGGAGCCCAACTGGGAGCACTGGGAGCCAAACTGGGATAAACTGGGAGGGAACTGGGAGGGACTGGGGGGAACTGGGAATTCCCATTTTCATACTGGTCCATACTGGGAGTTCACTGGTCCACACTGGTCCATACTGGTTTATACTGGTTTGTACTGGGAATTCCCATTTCCATACTGGTCCATCCTGTCCCATACTGGTCCATACTTGGAATTCACTGGTCCATACTGGTTTCTACTGGTCCATAGTGTCCCATACCACTTCACACTGGTTCATACTGGGAATTCACTGGTTTGTACTGGTCCATACTGGTCCATACTGGTCTGTACTGGTCTGTACTGGTCCATACTGGTTTATAGTGGTCCATACTGGTCCATACTGCTCTATACTGGTCCATACTGGTTTATACTGGTCCATACTGGTCCATACTGGTTTATACTGGTTTATACTGGTCCATACTGGTCCATAGTGGTTTATACTGGTCCGTACTGGTCCATACTGGTCCGTACTGGTCCATACTGGTCCGTACTGGTCTTTACCGGTCCATACTGGTTTATACCAGTCCGTACTGGTCCGTACTGGTCCGTACTGGTCCGTACTGGTCCATACTGGTCCGTACTGGTCCGTACTAGTCTATACCGGTCCATACTGGTCTATACCGGTCCGTACTGGTCTATACCGGTCTGTACCGGTCCGTACCGGTCCATACTGGTCCATACTGGTCCATACTGGTCTATACTGGTCCATACCGGTCCGTACTGGTCCATACTGGTCCATACTGGTCCATACCGGTCCATACTGGTCTATACCAGTCCGTACTGGTCTATACCGGTCCATACTGGTCCATACTGGTCCATACTGGTCCGTACTGGTCTATACCGGTCCATACTGGTCTATACCGGTCCGTACTGGTCCGTACTGGTCCATACTGGTCCGTACTGGTCCATACTGGTCCGTACTGGTCCGTACTGGTCCGTACTGGTCCGTACTGGTCCATACTGGTCCGTACTGGTCCATACTGGTCCATACTGGTCTATACTGGTCCATACTGGTTTATACCGGTCCGTACTGGTCCATACCGGTCCGTACTGGTCCATACCGGTCCATACTGGTCCGTACTGGTCCATACTGGTCCGTACTGGTCCGTACTGGTCCGTACTGGTCCGTACTGGTCCATACTGGTCTATACCGGTCCGTACCGGTCCGTACTGGTCCATACTGGTCCGTACTGGTCCGTACTGGTCCATACTGGTCCGTACTGGTCTATACCGGTCCATACTGGTCTATACCGGTCCGTACCGGTCCGTACTGGTCCGTACTGGTCCATACTGGTCCGTACTGGTCTATACCGGTCCATACTGGTCCATACTGGTCCGTACCGGTCCGTACTGGTCCGTACTGGTCCATACTGGTCCGTACTGGTCTCCTCCGCAGGGCGGCGCCGTGGGGCCGCGGGCCCGAAGCCATGGGGGCCCCCCCGGCCCCCCCGGGCCCCCCCCGGGCCCCCCAAGACACGGGGGGGCCCCGCCCCCCCCCACTGTGAACCCCAAAACCGGGGGGGGTGGGGGGGGAGGGGAACCCCCCAAAAATGGGGCTCCCCCCCACCCCTCCCCCACCCCTCCCCCACCCCCTGTCCGTTCGTGTGCGGTGGGGGGAGGGGGATTTGGGGGACCCCCCCCCCCAAAATGGGACCCCCAAAAAAAGGGATCCCGAAAAAGGGAATCCCCAAAAAAAATCCCAAAAATTGGGGAGGGGGTCCCCAAAAAGAGATCCCAAAAAAAGGGACCCTAAAAATTGGGGAGGGGAGACCCTAAAAAAAAAAAAGGGATCCCAAATTTGGGGAGGGGGAACCCCAAAAAGAGATGGCAAAAATGGGACCCCAAAAAACGGGATCCCAAAAAAAGGGACCCCAAATTTGGGGAGGGGGGACCCTAAAAATAAAAGGGATCCCAAAAAAGGGACCCCAAAAAACAGAATCCCATAAAAAGGGACCCCAAAACTGGGGAGGGGGGACCCCAAAAAAAGGGACCCCAAAAAGAGATCCCAAAAAAAGGGACCCAAAAAAAGGGAACCCAAATTTGGGGAGGGGGGACCCCAAAAATAAAAGGGATCCCAAAAAAGGGACCCCGAATTTGGGGAGGGGGGACCCCAAAAAGAGACCCCAAAAAACGGAATCCCAAAAAAAGGGACCCAGAATTTGGGGAGGGGGGACCCCAAAAAGAGATCCCAAAAAAGGGATCCCACAATGGGAGAGGGGGGACCACAAAAAGGGAACTTGGGGTGTCCCCTCCCAAAAAAAGGGACCCCAAAATGGGACCCCAAAAAAAGGGATCCCAAAATTGGGGAGGTGGGACCCCAAAATGAGATCCCAAAAAGAGACCCCAAGAAAATGGATCTCAAAAAAAAGGACCCCAAAATTGGGGAAGGGGGACCCCAAAAAGGGGACCCCAAAAAAAGGGACTTCAAAATGGGACTCCAAAGCTGGGGAGGGGGAACCCCAAAAAATGGACCCCAAAAAGAGATCCCAAAAAAGGGACCCCGAAATGGGAGAGAAAGGACCCCAAAATGGGACCCCAACATTGGGGAGGGGGGGACCCTAAAAAAGGGATCCAAAATGGGAGAGAAGAGACCCCAAAAAAAGGGAGCCCAAACAAAATTCCCAAAAAAGGGACCCCAAAAAGAGACCCCAAAATGGGAACTTGGGGTGCCCCCTCCCCAAAAAACAGGGACCCCAAAAAAAGTGATCTCAAAAAAAAGGGACCCCAAAATAGGAGAGGGGGGGACCCCAAAAAGGGAAGGGACCCCAAAATGGGACCCCAAAAAAGCACCTTGGGGTGTCCCTCCCCCCAAAAAAGGGACCCCAAAAAAGAGACCCCAAAAAAGGGACCCCCGGTGACCCCTCCAAATAAAAGGACCCCAAAAAAGGGATCCCCAAAAAAGGACCCCAAAAGGGACCCCCAGTGTACCCCCCAAAAAAGGGACCCCCATAAAAGGGACCTCAAAAAAAGGACCCCCAAAAAAGGACCCCAAAAAGGACCCCCGGTGTCCCCTCCCCAAAAAAAAGGGACTCCAAAAAAGGGACCCCCCCAAAAAGGGACCCCAAAAAAGGGACCCCCCAAAAAAGGGTCCCCAAAATG